TTTATATGACGCGTTTTGGTTCCAAATTGGTTGAGATATTCGCGTTTGAATTGCGTTAAATTTATTATCAATAATTTTATGTCACATTGTATCTTCGTAGATAACTCTAATCTCTTTATTCAGGGAAGGTATGGCGTCGGCCTCCCTGAAGATATCGGCCTTTTTGACGAGAGAGAAGATTGCATGTACTTTAACGATATTTTTATTGATTATGGGCAACTTGTCGAAAAAATCAAAGGTGAACGTAACGTGGTTGAGAGCCTCCTCGTCGGCTCAAGGCCACCAGATACTGATTCGGTGTGGAGACACGCTAAAGACAAAGGGTTCAAGGTAAAATGTACGACAAGAATTTTCTCGGTAACGAGAAAAAAGTCGATATGAAAATTGGAATCGCTATTACCCGGACCGCCATGAAGAATAGTCCTGGTACAATTGCCCTTGGCGATGGCGGCTATGAATCAGCCCTCGAGATAGTCCGAGAGGAAGGGTGGAATATGGAAGTATGGTTATGGAGAAGAGGTATGAAATATGATGATTTTTCTGTCTACGGGTTTTATTTTAAGATCAATTATCTCGGTTTGGGTACCCTTTGCGCTATAGAAAACTCATTTGAGCTTTTGAATGGCGGAAAAACCCTACCCTTCATAGGGTTATCCAATTCAATCATTATTCACGCAGAATACAATGATTTTTACTGGGCCTTCACATATGGTGTGGATGCGATGACGGGGAGTATGCCATTGATGTCACCGGCGTGATGTGTAGTTTAAGTTGGACAAACCGCGAAATGTTGAATTGGTGTTATACCTTGCGTATATTCGGCTGGTGGGACCGAATGAACAGGTCTCAAGGTATTTTACCAAGAAACGGGATTACCAAACCGTGAGGAGGTGGATGGGAAGTAACAATATTGAATTTTGGGATGCTGTATAACTATTACAGCCGAATCGATCTCACGGTTCGCGTGATATTAATTACGGGATGCGCTTAACTTTCTCATCACGTCCCACATGTCTCACGTGCTGACGGTGATATTCGCGCCATGTGTGTTTACTGGTGCATATCATTAACTCGTAGGACGTTTTCTCTACCTCTGCTCTATAGATATATAGATCCACTTACTCCCTCAATAGAATACAGTCACTCATTAACATATCTAAAAATAGATACAGTACCTCCCCAAGGCATATCGAACGTGATTCTTTTCTTGGAAAAAGTGATCGGCGTTCCGTTTTCGTGTGACGGAGCGGGAGTACTGACAGGTTAATCGTTTCGGCTGAAATTTCTTACATTCTATTAATATTAATATTAATAACGTATTGAAAGTTAATAATTGAGGTGTGAGGTGTGAGAAAAAAGAAATGAGATACTGATGACTGTAATGATGGTATTATTACTAAATATTTAGCTATTTAATAATAATTTTAAGAAAATCCGAAGTGATTTACATAAGCAGTCAAAGAGCCGATAACCTTAATTCGGATGCTCGACTATAATTATTGTTAAGGGTAATATTCATCTGTAAGTAATTTATTGCTCTACAATCGATTCTGAAATATTTCATGGGTAAGCAATTCACAACTCTTATAATTGATTTACGGCAGACAACAGTAACTCAAGTTTACAACGATTGATAATTGTACGATTCTTTTCAATTCGTAAAGATAACGGTTCGGCTATAATTATCACTAAGGGAGATGAATGTAAGTAATTCACGGCTCTTATAATCGATTTACAGAAGACAACAATAACTTAAACTTCCAATGATAAATAATTGTACGATCCTTTTTAATTTGTAACGATATAACTATCGCTAAGAGAGATGAAAGTAAGTAATTCGCAATCGATCTTAAGCTTATAATGATAGATAATTATACGTTTTTTTTTTTTTTTTTTTAATTTGTACCAATAATAATAACGTTGGTTCAAACGTTCGGCTATAAGGGAGATGAATTCATAACTCTTGTAATCGATTTACGGCAGACAACAGTAACTTAAGCTTACATCGATAGATAATATTGCACGATCCTTTTTAATTTGTAACGAACAATGCATTCGGCTATAGCTATCGGAGATGAATGTAAGCTCTTATAATTGATTTACGGAAGACAACGATAACACTTACAATGATAGCTAATTGTACGATTCTTTTAATTTGTAACAATAACATTAGTTCAGACGTTCGGCTATAACTATCGTTAAGGGAGATGAAAATTTAAGTAATTTACCACTCTTATAACCGATTTATGGAAGACAGCAGTAATTACGTTTATAATGATGCATGACTATACCGATACTAATAAGTGTAAAACTCATTTTGTTTATTTTACGCTCACAAAACTCAGATAACGTAAATCGAAATATATAAATCAACCATGATCATGATTCTGTCTTCAAAGCAATATCAACTTTTCTACATCACTAATTTATTACTCGAATAAATTGTCTCGAATCGTTGACAACTTTTCTTTCGATTTATTGGCACCATACGAGTTAATCGTTGACTTCTCCCAATCCACTTCTCATATATTTCCCGAATCATCCTCTCAATCCAACATAGTTTCCCCTTCAATTAACGTGTCTATTCCTGCACGTTTGCAAGAAATCAGATGTTTTGGCGTCCTTCCGATGCTTTGATACAAATTCTACGCAGACTCCATGAAGTAGATTATGATCAGTCTCCTTGTATTCCCTGTTCGTATTGTTCGCGTCTCTTGTATTCCTCCAACTAGCCAACCACATGATGGCCGTGTGTGCATCGTGACGTGCCGTCTAAAACAATACATTTTACCGTTAATGGTAATCCCGCATCTCGAATACCAAGGATTGACGCTACCTCAAATTTCAGTTTTCAATTTTTCGCTCCTGGCCAGGCATACGAAAGCACCGTCATGGGATGCTGTGGAGATACCAATTCTTAAAAAAGAAGCATTTTCAGTAAATAGATCTGTTGTCGAAGAATATGATCGTTTAGAACGTGTAGCAGAAACAACTCAGTTTATCTTCGTAAATACAGCCACCCCCCAAAGTAATTGTAATACAAGTTTACTTAAATTAATAGCTGATTGGTACTAACGGATCACGCACCTTACATTTTTTCACCATCTGATCTCCCATTTAAACAATATGTTCATGTGAATTTTAATTTATCTCGTCATACGATCTCTTCAAAGAGAAAGTAATTATGCTTCGTAATTACCTGATACAAAAATAGTCTTTTAAACCCAGGTTCATATGTCTTGCAACTATTATAATCAGTTGATTATTAATATCAAAATTAAAACATCTCTCTATTTAGGGCCTTCTCAACAGCTTTGATCCCCCATCAAATTTGGAAACGTATATACAACAAGTAGGGGCACCCAATTCTCAATAATCTTTCTGTCCTCTCTCACGAGGTCTCAGCCTCGATCTCTGTCACACATCTTTTACCTAATAATATGCCATGGAACGATCAGCTGGGCGCATTCGGATCTTTGCTGCAACATCTCCCGATTGGTGTGCAGAACGATGGATTTCACTACCACGTGAATAAAATTTTTGTGCAGAAAAAGCATTGAATCTCGAAAGTTTTTCTTCCCCTACCATCTCAACTATTATAATAGATATCATTGTAATTGCTTAGATAGAGCATGCCATCCAAGAAAGATTCTTCAAAGAGAGCCAATGCGAAAGCGAGACGAGCAGCTGCTGGATCAAACAAAAGATCAAAGAATGCCAAATCCAAGCAGAAAGAATTTCTTGCATCCAAAGACAGTTCGACAGAGACCGAAACCGAAGAACTGAGCGTGAATTTAACAATTAAATTGCCTAGTGGCAAAACCAAGACGGATATAATTGTACGTTTTGTTTAGTAAATTGAACATGGCGGCCATATTATCCATTGATTGCTCATCGAGCATACTTTTTTTATTCATGTAGGTGAGTCCAAACGAACTTGTCCAGGATATTCGGCAATGCATAATTGAGTCGCTTGAAACATGTGAGCATACGTGTTTTTCCCTTCACCATAAAGGGAAAAGGCTTAATGACTACAAAGAACTCCAAGAAGAAGGTATCACATCTGGCAACATTCTTGACCTCGTCGAAGGTAATTCACTATCTTTTCGATATAATTCTGCCAATTCACATGTCTGTGAGTTTCGCCACTGACCGACTGTAAAAACGCTGCTAGATCCGTACAGTGAAAGAGAAGCTCGAATTCACGTGATGCACTTACGTGAACTCTTAGCCGGACCCTTCAAGCAGGAAATAACATCCGTGGGAGCTGATCCCGGGTTGTCATTTTTCACAACAGTCACGGACAGTATTGGTATGTGATGAAGGTAGGCTCTGGCTAATGATTACGTGTTGCAAGCATGCTCGATTCTCACACGTGTCTCGGTGTATGCGGAAAGGGTCGGCGAATGAAGCAAAAGGAAACGGAAAGACTAATGGCAATGCGGGCGGATCGACCCAAGCATCAAGTAGCAAAGACTCATTGGAGACAAATGCTCCGAAAAACCCATTTGCTAACTTCGAGTTTGGGAAGGTAACTCTGACCGATTTCGTCCCCAATAATTTTCAAAAGGGACATATCAGATGCCTAGACAGCTTATTTCTTTCTGGCTGGAACCCAACGCCTCATGAAAGACGATATCGAGGTATTATCCCTTAAACTGATTTCCCCTGCCGCGACCGGAGGATTCCTAGTCTTATTTATTTATACACTGTTTATTGTTTATTAGGAGATTTATTTTATCTGGGAGTAAAAACTCTTGGAAACCAAACTTTTTACATAACAGCCTCAGTGACAGGCTTTTTCATAAACAAATCTACTGACAAAGTCTTTGACCCTTCACCGCGTACGGACCTTGAAACATATCACGCGCACTCTCTGATTACGTTACTTCGAGCCAACTCGCCCGAGTTTAATCAAAATTTCGAAACGCTTCAGGCATACATTGCTAAGCACAACGTTCTTGAGATTTTGTCAGTAAGTACCTGTCTGCCGAGCTATCCATGGGCTGTAAAACGCAACAAACAAGCATACGATTTGGGACGCGTCACGGGAGTATATCTTGATTTTGGTGTTGATGGAGTTGAATCTATTCGAGACTGGAACGAAGAAATCCAGGCACAAAGAGAATATCCGAAGAATGATATCAAAGATAGAGTATTTCGTGAGCGGCTATTGAACAAGACACAGGCTGATTTTGCAGAAAGTGCTATTCGGGGAGCTATTGCTGTTGTTAATGGCAACGCGGCCTCGTTTAATCCTCGTGACCCCGAAGAGGAGCATATGTACATTTACAATAATATTTTTTTCAGCAAAGCCCTTGATACGCGGGGCATGTTTGACAAATTAGGTGGTGATGAGGCTGCCTATGTTGCTGCGAATAAGGATTTAGAAGGCATTAGAACATTTAGTTCCCTGGATATTGAAGGATTGTATACGCTCGGAAGTGTAATTGTCGATTACAAGGGAATTCGTGTAGTCTGTCAAAGCGTTGTTCCCGGTATCTTTCGTCGCGGCGACGAGTCTATAGTGTATGGATATTTTGATAACGGACAGGATGAACCGCGCTTAAGTGCAGAGCCAAAGTTTCATGAAGCACTAAAGAACGCTTCTAGAGCGTTGCATCTCGCTGAACATAGGTGCGTGATGACCTTCTGAAATGACAGTGCGAAAAGACTTGTTATGTGGTTTTCTGTAATCGTTGTTACAAACTGTTCTTGGGTAGTAGTGTTTACATACATGAGACATTTGTAGTGTGAGTGACAAGAAAGGGAACACTGTCAAGTTGTATACTTCGCTCGAGACCAAGGTATTTTGATGTCCTTTTTTTTTTTTGTCCTGTCTACAGAAATTGAAGGGAATTATCAACTTTGTACTGATACGGCCATTTGTATACAAGGGTTTGGTTGGTGATGATGGCCGTCGCTATTTATTTGACTTATATCGGTTGAACCCTGTCGATATCGAATTCCTTGAGAATGAATGCAAACCCAAAGAAGATTCTTCGATGCCGGCGTATCCCCACAAAATGACTCTTCTTCGACCAGAGTTGATGGAAGTATTTTGGGATCATAAACTACGCCTCTCTTTCAAGGAGAAATCTCTAGAGAAGTTGAAGGTGCGATTTCTTGTTATCGTCAATCTGACTGGTCAGATAAACTGAATTTGTCTTATTATTGGGTAGAATTCCGAACAAGAAAACCAGAAAAAAGAAGCGCAGAGCCCGACAGAAACGGCGACAGATACGTTGCCGAAAGGAGAAGAGGAGGCAGAGAAGAGCGAGCCGAAGGAATGTTTACCAAACGAGAAAGAGAACCAGGTGAAAGGAGCGGCCAGTGATAAGGAAAACGAAATACCTAACGAGACGAAGCAAGAAGAAGCTGCATCCAGTAACGAAAAGCAAGAAGAAGAACGCGTTATCGATGGTTCAGAATTGAATGAATTCAATCTTGCATTCAATGCCGACGCTTTTACGGATTATAACAGGCCAGAAGATGATGAAGTTAATGCACAAGTAGCTTCTGACGAGAAGAACGTGCGTGAAGTATCAAAGTTCTTAAGGGAAACAATCATTCCGACTCTGGTAACGTTGCGTATACAAACATTCATGGCCTATTCACTCGATTAATTGGAAAGAAAATTGAGCGCTTAATTGTTGTTATTTGCCATGATTTAGATCGTGGAATTTGCTACGTTTAATGTATCCCCAATGGCTGGGCTATCACTTACGAAAATTCTTCATCGCCGCGGTATAAATATGCGATATCTTGGGTTTATCCTTGAGAAAATCGATCAGTCTGATGACAAGTATCGTTTAGAACACATCAGGGTAATTATCGCACCAAAATATGATCTTTGCATGGAAACTTTTGAACATAATGAGTAATCTGACACACTCTTTTAATAACGTGTTTAGCATCTCTGCGTACACGAAATGATTATACGCGCATGTAAACGCATTCTTCGCAGTCTTCTACGCGAAGCCTCCATGGCATATGCACCTAATATTATTTCTCACTTTTTTAACTGCCTCCTTGGCGCGAAGCTCAACCCTAATCCGCAACCAACAATTCCTGACGTTCGGCCCCCTAACGACGCATGCGAATACTCTTATTTATCGCTAACACCAGATCTTCTAGATGGGAAGATACGGGATGAAGTGATGCTTCGTTTTAGATATGCACTGGCAGAAGGTTACGTTGATTCGGAAATCAGAGTGTTACCTTTGCTGAGAGAAATATGCCAACGAGTCGGAATACAGATTGCTGCACAGAATTATCATTTTGTAAAGAAAAGTAAAAAGGATTTGAAAAAGAATAAGAGAACGACGACGTTTATACCAGAAGATATAACAAACTTACTGCCTGTCGTGAAGCATGCAGCACCAAAGGTATGAAAAATGAGCCACGATAAAGCGATGGCAAGTCTGGAAAAAAAAAGGTTACTTGTGTAGCATGTGAAAGGCTAAACTGCTCTCAATTAAATAGTGCAATTTTGCCGAAGAAACTTATGAAGCTGGTCGACTGAGCATAGCACAGGGTATTTATTGAATAGGTCGCAATGTGATATTCCTGATTTATGTTTATTCAGTCTTATTGACTTTACAATACATCCGACTCGTTGCCAGGTGATCGTAAATTCGGGGAAGAGCTTTTGTTCCAAGCAACTTCTTTACATGAACAAAGTTACGGATTCCTTCATCCGGAGACGGCCAAGTGCTATTCCGCGTTGGCAATGTGTTCGTATCACAATGATGATTTAGCTGCGACACTTGATTTCCAGCGTAAAGCCACTGTTATATTTGAGCGGACTCTAGGCGTGGATAGTGCCGAAGCTGTTCATGGCTATGTAGGTCAATTTATCACATCAAAATTACTTAATGTTAATAATGGACATCGTTAGCTGAAATATATATATATATATATATTCTATCCGTCATTAGTTGTATCTTGGATTATTTGAACATGCAGCTGGTAATACCGAACTCGGTCTCCGATATATGCGGCATGCTCTTTACTACTGGGAACTCATATATGGAGCTCGGCACCCGGATGAGGCGACGGCATTGGTAATTTATTATTTGAATCATGTAGAAAGTTGTCTGATATGGCGATTGTTCTGATATTGACACACACTCTCCATAGAATAATATTGGTATGATGCTTCAAAGCATTCGTTATTTCGAAGGCAGCGTCAAATTCTTTGAACGCGCAAAAGATACTCAACAGGCGGTATTCGGCGAAGACCATTTGGTGACTGCTGAATCGTGAGTGACCTGGATTTATTCTTTACAGTGTTCAATAATTATTGTATTAATATGGTCTTTGCGTTCATTTGTTTAATTTGAAGATATCACACACTTGCCAAAGCATTATCGCAAGCTCAAGATTATAAAGCAGCAATGAATGCAGAGAAATTTGCTTATAATATATTTAAGAATCAGGTACGTTCAACATGTGATGAATATAAAAAAGGACTATGTCAAAGTAGCATTAATTTTGTGACACGTATATGACATTTTGTTTTCAGTGTGGAGATAATCACATCAAGACTCAAGAGATAGATTTATACCTCAAGGAAATGACAAAGAACGCTGTTGAAACGGTAAGTACGAAAACAACCTCACCAATTGGCAACATTAGACGCGACTGTGTTTTTATTTTAATTCTTGCTTTTCGTCATCAATGTAAAGGCCAAGAAACAGAGACTCTTGATGGAGCAAGCAAAAGTTGCTTCCAAGCCAGGTGCTGCAGTAAAATCACGACCGGATCTTGATAACACCTCTGGATCCAGAAAAAAATCAGCGTCCAAGAAGTAATGGTTGAAATAGAGCTACAACTAAACTTTTTATAAATTTGCGTAACATAGATCAAATGTAGGAATGAAGTACTATCAAGAAATATAGCCATCGGCGTATATTCGTATAATAAATTCTTGTATCGATATGAAATGACTTTTGCCTGATTGAATTGAATTTGTTTCATATCGAGCGCAATCTCGGTGCAAAGGCGAGTCATGAGTCGTTGTATTAACTTCTAATCTGATCTCCATATTGATTTCCTATTTTGCACCCTGAAGACAGTATAAACATTCTCACCAAGAAAAGACATATTTGGGTTAAGCAATGTCAGAACAATTTGTCAGTCTTGTGATAAATTCGCATTATAAACAATTATTAGCGATTCGAACGGAGGATGTTTAATTTTATTTATTTATTTATTTAAATTGCAAAGCAAATTCTAATAAATGTAAATGAAAATGTCCTGCCTCTGTTGAGAGAAATATAATCCGAGTGAAGACTATTTGGAAGAGTTGAGCAGGGCCCATTTATCTGCAGGGTTGTCTAAATATTTCCAAAGACAGAAAGCCAATTTCTAAAGAAAATAATAATCGGCTTAAGAATCTGTCATTTCAGTATAATTTATAAACTTCAAAAGAGCGCCAGAAATATAAGAACACTCATTAAAAATGCTTGTATGAATTATTGCCTGAAATCTAGGCTTGTCTTCCATCATAACTCCTGGGATACATAGGGACTATTGATTTCGCGTCCTGACTTCCATTGGTAAGAACATGATGAGAATAACTATTATATGTTAATATTAATAAATTATCGTTATCTTTTTCAAATTGATAATGACTCATCCAGGAAACAAACTGGAGTGACAAGCTGGGTCGACAGGGTAAAGTATTGTCACCACAGTGACTTGACTTACTTGATAATAATAAAGCGTGTCGAGGTCTGACTAGATATCAAGCATCACTTGGCTGAAAAAAATAACCAACTACTTTATAATGACAGTCACTAAATTCAGAGGCTACTTTTTACACTGTAAGAATGACAACTAAATTTTTTGATTGCTTATTGTTCTCTCATTTATATTTAATTATGATATAAGGCTTATTTTCCAGCTATGATTGCATGCCATTACTCTTTATACATATTAGAAGAAAATAATGCTTATTTGATGTTTCCTTTCAAAGAAAATATTGCTTATATGATGTTTCCTTTCAAAAAAAACAAGCATAATCTCTCTATAGAGAGGAATATATACATTAAATGTTGCTACCTAAATATTTGTTGTAACTTTACCCAAAAGGCTGGTAGCAAAGTGCAATTGGTCTATTATGAATAAATAATTGTTATTCAGGTCCGTGATATTCAAGTATGCTCAATTAAAAACTTAATGTAAGCTTAATAGAAACATCACTTCATAATCCTTTTTCTTTTAAATAGTCTCTATGTTTATACAGTGTACCTAAGTAATATCCCAAGTATATATCCGGATATACAACATCACAGATGTTCATGAAAGCCAAAAATCTACATCCGGTAGTCAATTCAAGATTGCAATGCTGAAGCATAAAGTAACCAGCGTGATGTGACGATGCAGCAAATCAATAATCCCAAGATGAGATCACAACTGCGTCGTTCACGTTAGCCGTCATTGGAATAGTTAAAAATTCATATTCCATGATCTCTAATAAGTCATGCGAATATATTAAAGAATATTCGGACATGCTATAAGCCCCGCGATTGATCAAAATTCTGGTTTTTTTTGTCAAGCCTTTCACTAATTTGTTTAGAACGAATTGTTCAATAGGCGGACCCAACACAAACAGTTTGCATGCTCTTTCAGCACATCGAGAAATAAGTTCTAGGAGTTTGTCCCCCAGAAGATCAGGACACCTTATAGTTATGCTTTCGAGACAAGACGGACAAGACTTGAGCAAAGGTATTAAAAAACCGTCATCATCAATGTCCCATCTCACCGCAAGAGAACGCAAATTTCGATTATTCTTGACCATCGGAACGAGTATGGGGTCTATAAACGCCGAGCTCAGATAAAATTCAATGCTCTCGAGATAATTGAAATGCGATATAGTCAGACAGCGTAAAACGTCCACGTCTAAAATTACCAAGTCTGTAAGAGCCAATGATCTCATCGACTTTACACGTATGAGGCTTCTGATTATAGTATGGCCAACGTTGAATTCGCCCAGCCTTACGGATTTTACGTAGGAACACTCATCAAGCACTCTTGCTAAATTTTTATTTGAAATTCGACACAAGTCTCTATCCTCTAGCACGACATTTGCCTTCATCCATCTCTTCATTGTCGTATACGGATATCTTGTACGTCCGGCTATTGCCATATCCATAGTGCGTAGAAAGGCGTTTACCGCTCGGACACTGTTCAGTTGGACATTGCTCCATAAGAAATTTGTTGACACATCATTCCATAGACGATTGACAAGAGCAAAATTGTATACAGTCTGAGGGCTGCTAATATCTTCGACGATTAGTCGAAGGACATCGAAATTGGTAAGGGCCAATTCTGTCATTTTTTGCTTGTTAGAGAATAAGAACAGTTCATTCATTTCACATGCCAATTTATGTAGGACGAGTTCATGTGGTCAGGTTGCCACGTGACAGTTGCTGTTGCTATGCCGATCGCTATTATTGGAGAATGCAAGCCAAAAGTATGACAAATGTACATTATACGGTTTATAAGGTATGTTGTCATAAATAATAAAGAAGGCTTTGATAAAAGTGTCATAATCGGCTTTGTAACGAAATAGTATGTGGAGCTGATAATAAGTCGCCCACCTGCGTTGACTGTGCGGATAATATTTTTGGGACAATGGGAAAATCCCTACTATGTAGGACGATACGTCTTATTATTATTGGCTTAGCTCTCAAAGTACTGTTTACTGGATAATAATGCTAGCAGGTAAAAATACCAGGAATAGTTTGATTACATAATAACAATGCTGGTATTGTGTCAATGTGATTACCAAACTGTTGGCATGAAGTCTTGTTGAATTATCGGTTAAATAAATCGGTTCTATCGAAATGCAAGATGTGAATGTATAATTATATTATGACGAATAACTAGGATACAGTCAAATTATTATGACAAAACACGGGCAAAAAACCAAAGAACATTGATAGGCAGGTCAGAATTATCGTACAGTATATTTCTATTAATTGTACTATAATAATAGCTGAGTCCCGTGTATCCCATGTACTAGAAACCTTTTAGATATAAAATAAAGCCGAAAAGGTATATGCATTATCTGGAATTATGCTGGTAGACACACAAGCGTAGAAAGTACACATAGGTGCTGGATTACGTTGGCCAATATTTTGGAAATCAAAGGAAACGTACTGTGGATCAGGCATTTCGATGTAGTTATCTCTATGAGGTAGTCTCTACAGGTATTGGCTGTGCCTGAAACATTTGTTTGCATTCACTAAAGTTATATTTGATTAGCTTCAGCGTGGCATTTCATCATGCTTAGCACCGATGGCCTATATTAAGTGAATGTCAAATTAATGATCCAAAACGACATTAAAGGAAGACATTGAATCAATTGGAAAGAGCGTGGAAAAAGTTATCGGAATAATTGTCGAGTTGTTAAAAGATAGGATAACGACGTGTGAATAACCTCAAAGCAGAAAGCGGCGTGTGCAAAAAAAATAAAATAAAATAGATTACAGTTTTTTTGTAATTGTATTTCATTATGGTAATTTTTCGAGCGAAGAATTCTTCATGCTGACATACAAAAGGTTAAGACAGAATCATAACTTTATTGATATGTACACTGCAAATGCAATTATCTGTATTTGTGAGATAGAGTTCAAAGACGTGAGATTACCAACCAGTATATTACTCCCTATATTTTTCCCTATATTTCTGCGTAACTCCGATAGTGTCACAAGGATTTTTAGATCGTCCATATTTATCGAAAGTGACATACGCACTCAATATTGCACAATCAGTAAATAATCCGGAAAACTGACATCTCGAATAGTTACTACAATTGTAAGTAAAAAGTGTTCCATATTTAAGTTCATTTTCTGATAAGTTGTTGCAAAGTCTGATCTGTTTTAGTCGGCTTTGTAATCGACTCCTCTTTCCATCATTCATAAGTCTTTTTGGCTGCTGTATCACCATCTTCACTTTAGCATCCTCTGTAAAATTCAGGTAGTGTTTTCCAATTCATTAACTTTGTTTTTCATAATCTTTGCATTTTAGAACATCTAATTAATTTGTAAACTCTCTTGCTCCTTGGTCCACTTATATGGCTTGACACTTTTGATGTTGGAGTGGCATGATAGTCATGCAATGAATCTTTTCTCAGTAGTGGTTCCGGTGCCCAGGCAGTCACTGATGGCTGTTTGATTGAAGTTAAAGTCGGAGGTTGTGTTGAGTTAGCTTGAGCAGTGGTGCACTAGCCTTGGGATTAGTCCTTTTCCGACGGAAGCTTGCGAATAGTGCACTCACTAACGTCCAACCCTGGGTATTTTGTTTCCAGCATAGTCTTCAAGTTATTAAATGTCGTGATAATGTTTAATTATTATTCCGATTTGGAGTGGTTAGGAATTTTGCCATTTTTCGAAGTATGGAACGTAACGTTCACAGGAATCCCAGGGTTTTTGTTTTTTTTGTTTTTTTTTTTTTTTTGTTTTAATTTTTTTTGCATTAGGGACGTTTTGCTTCCAAAGAGACTTAACAAATTCTGTTACGGCATAAGCGAGTCATGGTAAAATCCCATGATCGACGTTGATTTTAGAAGGGTAGTACGGTGTCACGTCGCGCATTTTCAGTGCCGTAAGTATCAGAAAATGTGACAGCACAAACGCTATTAAAATATGATTGGTTCTTCATAGAATTTACGGTTATTTAGACAATTTTAGCTCCGTTTTGATTTTTGAGTGTCGCTAAAAGTATATAAGCGACCCTTATCCCATTGTTCGAATTCTCATGTGAAAAGGAATTCGAACGAGAAATAAAGCAGTGGGAACGCAGTCTAAAACAGTCCAAATTCAAAATAAAAAAAAACTCGGGAATGCTATAGAACTCAACAAACAGACTGTATTACTAATACTACTGATATGTTCGATATATTTTATTGAATATTTGCAATAATGTGAAGTATCATCATATTACATATAGGACGCATAGTATGCATTGTATAATCTGAATCTGTATATGAATCATTCCACCCAGTTAATGATCTATTAATATCCTCAGTAAGCATCAGATCTCAGGAATTGTTTACTTATTTCTAATCCATAACCACAAAGTTTTTGTCAATCCAAGAATAAACGGACTGTAACTCTAGCAGAAAAATGTCCTTTGATTATTCTTCATTACGAGATCATTATTATCCACCTCTCTAATTTAATAGCTTTGGGGCCAGCAAAATTATGTCGTCATTTCCGACAATTGCATAGTCGTCATACCCGTTAGCATGCTAAGTTTCACTCCTGATAAAGCGTCATTACTACAAATCAAACGAACACTACCATTAATTCGCGTCCAATGGCGAGGCGAAAAGGATAGCGTAAAATAATATGTAGATTTCGAATAATTTTATTTTAAACATAATTAGTTTGCTAAATATTTTCTCCGGTCCAAGTGCGGCTCTTCTGGCGATCCCCGTCACACCTGTGTCCCATGACCTTCGGACACTTTCTTTCATGTTTTTCGCACAAGAAAGGGCTGATCGACTTTGTATCGAGAAATTGGAATTCTACTGTTTCACAATACATGGAACAGTGTACCAAAGACAATTAATGTGACAGTCATTGGATCACAATATACGTGGATGATATGCAGGTTCCGTTAGGCTGACTTCTGCATTAATATGTCCAACTAAAGATATTATGGGTTTTGATATGGGTATAGGTTCTTCAGGTGAATGCTTGTCGTTGAGAGTAATAAAACTAATATTTGCTTTGCTGAATTGATGAGTATAATATGCCATGCTCATACTGCTAGTAATCTTGTTCAACTGAACGGCACAATTGAGTCCACCCTGTCCGATGCATCCAGCCGTTTTGCCCCCCCAAATGTTTTCGACGCGATACAAGGTTTTACTAGTAAAACGTGAAAAATTAAAAATTTCAATTTGCTAATTTTCTATATTATTTTAAAGCTAAATGATTGTAGTTGTAATTGAGAGATATCAGCAATTTTAAAATATTAACGATCGTCGATTTACATCGATCATTTAATATTAGTTAAACAAGTGAAGCTTTTATCTCCTCCTCACACTGCAACAGTAATATCTTAAAATTACTGATATCTCTCAATTAAAACTACAATCATTTAGCTTTAACATGGTATAAAATTTTTATTGGTACTTGTTTGAAATTTCGATTTTTCATACGTTTTACTAGTAAAAGTTTATAGTATGCGTACCTCTCCCATGACGGTTCATTACGTGATGAGTGAATGGTATGTAGTGAAAGCGGAAAAGAAGTGATCATATTTGTGTATAGCAAGTTATGTGCATGAACAATCAAACGATAGATATTAATAGGGTTCACATATCATGTTTGAGTGTATAAAAGTATTCAATCACTATTAAACGGTAAAGTATATGAAAAAGTTTCTTTTCAAAAATCGTATTACTATTACTATTGTCATTCGCGATTAGTGCTCGTCCAATAATAGTCGATCTGCAAAACTTGATCACAGATCTTTGGTTATTTATGAAAATTCCAGTAGTAGGGAATATTATACTCACTCACTTGTACATCTACATTGTTATGAGTTCTCCGCGGGTATCTTCTTCTACTACAATACCAACTGATAGTCAGTCAGCCTCTACAGTCGCGTCTACGCCTACCGCCAATCCGTTGGATAATTCGTCTCATGTGTTTATATTAGATGAAAATAAACTATCAGCAGCGGGGAATCCGGAAAAGCAAGAAATATACTTGTTCAATTGGCTCGCTAACGCAGAAAGAGAACTGCTTAGGGCGAGTAAGGTTGGTTGATGACAACGTTTAGTAAAGAGATCGCGAGAGTTTGAGAAAATGGAAAGGATGGAAGAGGAATTAGTAGAAAGTATGTAATGCACTTGGTTATCCGCGCGATCAATATCAAAACCACAAGCATCCGAACATCTCTTTTTGATTTTTTTGGTGCCAATTTAATCTATTTTTACTTTTTTCACCCCATTCGCTTCAAATCAGCAAAGTCTAAAAACTTCCCAATCTCATCTTGAATCCGCTCTCTTCAAATGTTTCTCCTTGCCCTCTCCCAAACCACATCGTCCTATACGACAACTTCTTGGTAGATGTTTCGTGTTGATTTATACCAACGGAGATACAAGAAGTTTGTTTGATACGATTATGAAGCTGTGTGGGATTTGTGGTGGAAGTGGAGGAAAGGGCGAAAGCAAGGGAAGTGGTGGAGAAAAGGAGGTGAGATTGTGAGTAGTGTTGGAAATGCGGGACATGCGGGGTATGGGATGTGCGGAGAGATAAATATAAAGAAGAGAGGACAAGGAATTGGTGTAAGATATGGAGCTACTTAGCAATTAGATAAATACAATCGGTGGGATTTTAATGGCTAAAAGAACGGACAGCAGAGGGTAAAGACTCGTCCAGTGATGTGAAACTTAATTTGTAATTAACGAGAAAGCAAAGGAGATAGAACGGCAACGCCATTATAGTGTATTATAATTATGGCTCTTTTTAGCATGTCCATCTCAACTAATTTTCTTATTTTACATGTAGAGCCGCTTTACATTGTATTGGAGTAATAATGAATGCTCTCGGTGATAAGATGCTGTCTTTGGTTCCGGAAACACTTATTGTTTGTTTGAAAATCATTAAAACTTCATCTAACGTAAGATTATTTATTTATACCTAGTTATGTGTTGTTGGGGAAGTTTGTTTTTGTTTCCTTTATTCGGATACTGACACAGCGATTTAATTTTATATTATTTCTTAAATCAATCTCTTTTCTTTTAAAATCGTCGACATTCCATTTTTCTCTTCAATATATTCTATTTTATTTTTCCAGCCATTAATTCTAAAACTGGAGTCCATCAACGCAATAAACCGAATTTTGGAAGGTTCCGGGAAAGGGGCAAATGAACAGACAATAAAAGATGTTATGAAGCAGATGAAGACAGGACTCGGAGATAAAGCATTGATTATCAGAGTTGCATCTATCGAGGTTTGATTTGATTTTAGGTTTTTCTGAAAGCGTGTTCGATTGAGAGTTAACGTAAAGTGAATTGTCTACTCGTCTGTTCTATGTAATGATTAATATTATATCACTTTTCTCTTTTATTTTGTTGCTATCAATTTCTCATTAGTGTCTCCGTACGCTCCTAATTTGCACTCCTCAGACCATTTCGCATAGCGATATTGACCATTACATAATGCAAGTATTCAAAACTCTTGATCCGCCTAACCCAACCGTTCGTCGAACTGCCGCATCGTTTATTTCAACGCTCCTCGCTCAGACTCAACTAAATTCAGCCTTTGTGGCGTCTACGTCAACATTAAAATCTAAACCATCCCAAAAACAAGGAATGCAAGGACAAGCTGAAGATAATGAAGGCATAAGTGTAGGCAATACGGAAGAAGATGAAGAACGTGGAGGAATGTCAGTAGAGGAAATGCTTAAATTTCTGTCTGGATGGTACAATAAGAAGGAAACGACGCGAGAGATGAGGAGTGTCATTATTGAAGCGTATGCCGGGCTGTTTATTCAATTGGGGACGAGATACGTAGAAAATAACTACACCTCAATCATAAAACACTTACTTTTCGACATAGTATCCAACGTCCGCAATACATCCACTCAATTTTCGATCCTGACCGTACGCTCACACTGCTCACTTCTTCTTCGTGATGTAATTTCTACGCGTCTCCTGACCGAGCAAGGTCAAGTACAGGCAATCCTTTCCCTTTCTAACACCATTCAATCTCCACAACAAACTGAAATGGAAGTGTCAAAATATGCGTTGATATGTGCGGTAGATGAAATTTCGGGATTATTTATTGATCTCGGAGGGGCTGCAAGCGCAATTGGGGATACGGTTATCGAACAGTTGGTGAAACTGTTGGAACATCCAAGTTATTCGGTGCAGATAGCGGCTAGTTGGTGCCTAAGAAGTTTTGGGTTTTCAATGCCAGGACTGCTGACTGGATTGATTACCAAAGTTCTCGGGTTATTGAACAAGAGTATTAGTAACACGAATAATATGAGCAATGCTAGTGTGTCATTGGAATTGCATAAAAAGACAGTAGGCTATGCACATGGTCTAGCGGCCTTGCTGAGCGTAATACCCGCACGACCACTCGACGTCTCTTTCGAGCTAAGTGCCCGAGTATTCTCTCTCTCTACTTCACTCATCAAATCGAGCTCTAACAAAGAGCTTCCAATCGCTAGCGTTCACAATCAGGTTGCATGGATTTTGATAGGTTCTTTAATGTGTTTGGGTCCTAATTTTGTAAAACTGCATCTACCGCAGCTGTTACTGTTATGGAAAACGGCTCTACCAAAGGTACCGACGAAGGAAGGATATACAAATAGGAGCGAGATAGAATGGGCATTCATGTTTCATGTCAGAGAATGTGTACTAGGAGCGATAAGCTGTTTCTTATTACATAATGGAAGATTGGTGACTCCCGACGTAGCCAAACGATTGACAGCCCTCCTCTCGAATACGCTGAGTTTCATCTCTCTGGTGCCTCCTGCTTTTCTTTCTGCAATGCCATTAGCGCCCTCTCCCATACTTCCCCCTTCGCTTTCTTTATCCGACCGAATTGAAATGCTTCAACGTCGCATACTCCAATGTTTTCTGGCCATTAAACCAATTGCCGCTTACGATAACTTGTCTTTGCAATTGTTGAAAATGTGTTTATCCAATTTTGCGGATCCCGATAAGAGCACCGGATCATCTATTACAGCAGCCATCACAAGGGAAAGTAGTTTTGGTGGAGTATGGACTGTTGGAGATGGATCTGGATACGGTGTAACTAGTAAATTGAAGGGAATGGACGTTGAAGTTGGAGTTGTTGATGGATTCATGGAGGACAAGAGAAGTAGAAGGAAAGACTGGTTGAATAGAGATATGGTAGAGAGTGAAGTAGAGAATTTGGTGAGTGGATTTCTTGGAGGGTGAGTTATTAAATATCATATCAAAATAATGCTAACCACACATTTTTATTTACAACTCTCGCTACCCACTTTTACATGTGATTCACAGCTAGAGAAGCCAGTACTTGGCGCTCCTGAACATGACTCATTGATGATATATACTACCTTCTGGTCTCCCGCTTCGTCTCTACATATCCCCAAACCCCAGTCTCCCGCTACAACAGTAGTTGACTGTAGCATCGAACTTTTCTCTACGCTGTTCCCACTTCAAAACGCAGCATCCCAACTATCGTTACTGGAGCAACTAACCAAGTCAGTTCGCAATCCCAAATTAGACAAAATTCCTGGACGTAAAATGGCTATACAAGTCAATGCAGTAGTGTCAATTTTAGGGGCGTTTACACATATAATGACATCATCTAGTAAAAGAACAGACGAATCCATGCCGTGTATAGCAGATAAGAAAGTGGGAACAATGGCGATGGAATTGCTGCAAGAAACAATAGTCCACTCTGACCCGTATCTTCGCAACGTAGCCAGTGAAGCACTCGGCAGACTAGTAAGCATTGTTGGCGGATCGCTGATTCCGGAACAGATACAAACTCTAGTTGATCAAGTGGTCAATAACAGAGATCCTGATTCACGAGCCGGTAGTGCACTTGCGCTTGGAAATATATATAGTCATGTAGGAGGAATGGCAGCGGGGAACCATTTGAAGACGATAGTTGGAATATTGCTCTCACTCAGCAGTGATCCTCATCCAGTGGTACATTTCTGGGCATTATATTCACTCTCGCGGACGATAGAATCTGCGGGGTTAATGTTCTCACAGTATGTTAGTAGTACTTTGGGTATAATTGCAAAACTATACATGGCTGAAACACATGAACCTGGCGGTGGCTCAGTTGGCACCACGAATGTCGGATTAGGCTGGTCAGCATATCAACAATTCGGTAAGATAATTTACGGGCTTATCGGCACACTTGGACCTGAACTCCAGCAAAATATAAAAATCCGTGATTTATGTCTACGAATTGTAACCGAGCTAAAGAACGACACCGAGGCTTCCGTTGTTGTTGAATCTATTCGATGCATTCAGCATTTTATCATGTTCGCTCAACAACACATTGACCTCCCATCTTTAATCTCATTTCTGCAATTGCAATTATCGAGCATGCATCTACCATTGAAGAAAGTGGCTGTTACCTGCTTGTATCAGCTAGTACAACGAGATGCAAAAAAAGTTTTTGAAATATCAACAGGTTTGGATGATCAACTGTTCTCGTTGCTGGATACAGATCCATCAGTAGATGGTGTGAGAGATATAGTACTTAGTTGGTTGAAGCAAACAGCGATAAATAGCCCATCGACGTGGGTCGAAGTGTGTAGGAAAGTAATGTCTAAGCAGGGATCTACGTCTGGTAATAATTCTCTTGCCGTAACAACTTTCAATGCGTCAGATACGACCAATGGGGATTTTTTTGAAAACGAAGATGAAAATATAAACACATACACATCTTTCGACAATGAAACCGAAGACTTTTCTGTTGCCTCTCCGACTCATTCTTCCTTCCCCACAACCGCATCTGCATCCGCATTTACTTCGTCGACTGTTTCTTCTCGTCCATCGCACAACACTCCTTCTGATCAAATACATATTCCACCCCGCTGGCGAACGCAATTGTTTGTCTTGCAATGTCTAAGACAAGTGGTTGAGGTTATACATTCACATGGAATCAGGGAACATTTTGATTTGCTTGTTGCACGGGAAGGAAAAGACAAAGACTATCTCGTGTTGAGAGTAGGCGAATTAATTAAAATGGCCTTTACTGCTTCCACGGCCTTGGTGGGAGAAATGAGGTTGGAGGGATTGGAATTGTTGAGAGATGTTATTGAGGTAGGAAAATATTTTCGTCAAGTCATTTCTTGATGAACAGAAGACATTTCAATGATGTGGGTTGATATGGGAAGGATGAGGCAAGATCTACATAACTCTTTTACAAATTGCTTCCGTTTACAGAAATTCGCTGCTACCCCCGATCCTGATTTCGAAGAAGCTGCATTATTAGAACAGTATCAGGTTGAGTATTCATCACTATTATCAACTCTTTAATAGTACTCCTGCTCGTCACTCATTCTTTATTTCTTCAGGCTCAAATAGGTGCTGCATTGACACCCGCCTTTTCTTCGGATACTTCTCCAGAGATTCTCTCAGCTGCTGTCAAAGTCTGCGGGGTATTTGTTGGCAGCGGGATTGTGAAGGAATTGTATAGAATGGGTAGAATATTAAAGTTACTTACGACTGCGTTGGAAAATTGTAAAGGTGAGCATGAAGGTGTGTATATATATTGCTCATTGTACACTCTCTCACTTCTCCCACCTGTTATTTCTATTATCAAGACTCCACTCCAAGGAAAACGTCTCCTTCGGCTCCTCTATCTCCACATGCATCCATCATGGTCCGTCTTTCCATAATCAATGCCTGGGCAGAGTTACAAGTTTCGACCCTAAAGCAACCCTACCTAATCCAGGTTATTTCTCCAAACTTACCTCTCTTATGTCCACTCTGGGTTTCATCTTTAAGAGATTATGCGAGATTGCAGGTTGAGGAATGGATCGAGGTGGAGGGAATTGGAGGGACTGGAACGAGAAAGGGGAATGGTGGAGGAGTGGGGAAAGGATTAGGGCAAGGAGAAGTGTTTGATTCTATGTATGGTGGATTGACGAGAGAGGTTATATTGCCGGTAAGTAAGAGTGGTGATTACAATTGCCCATATGGACAGTTGCTCAAAGAATGTCTATTTTTTGGCTTGCTTGTAAATCATGTTTAATTCAAGATATTAACTAACACGCATTATTTTATCCTAGTATTACAACAAATCATGGTTGACCATACTGGGAGCAGTTGCAAGTCTAATAGAAATGGATAACCCATTAATCACCCAATCGCTCAACAATGAAACTCCCCCAACTACGCCCCACTCATCGGCATTATCGACATCCGCAGAAATACCGACAGAGACCATAGACAACCCAACTAGTCAATCTCTGACATTTCCTATCCTCTTTGGTTTATGCATACAATCCCTTTCGTCTTCCCAAACCTCGCCCAAGATCCTCCGAGTCTGCCTTGACTCATTGGCATCCATATTGAAGCCTTCTTGTGTTGGGGAATCTTTTTTGGAAAAGGCTGTGTTCCTAGAAATGCTTAGTTTGTTCGATAAATTGGTAATCGTGGAAGGTATTCAGGTGCAGTTTAGGGTATTGAACATCATTAAGAATGTGACAAGAGACTTTGGAAAGTGGTGTTGTAATGACTTGGATACTGGGAGGTGAGTAAGAAATATCTGTCTGGAACACCATAAAGTGTATTTTACACTTTTTTTTTAAAAAATTATTTCGAAGTTGGGGTATTTTCTAATCTTAGATTATATATCACCGTGACCTTCGACATTATCTTGACAGAATTGATGACTAATTATGTCTGGATGATCATGTTTCCATTTCTAGTTTCGATTCCATTTCCGCCGCTATACCGCCCACTTCCACATCCACATCCCTCTTCGATGGGTCCAAAACTTATCACATACTTCGTCTTCTTCTTCACATCATCTTCATCAATCACCCTTCTTTGTCTTCTTCTTTTTCCTCCTCTCCCGTCTCTCCTTCATCTTCGATTTCACTTCTCCGATCACGGTCGGCAGTGGTTTCGCGTACGTCTCAGGAATCGATTATTGTTTTAAAGATGACATGTGATATTATGACGGCTTTGTTTAGGTTGTTGGGAGAGCATCGTGGAACAACGGCGGTTGATGACAATAAGAGCGATGAGAATACCCCAACAGGAAACGTTCTGCCTGTGGTTTTGTTCGTATATGTTTCGATGGTAACTCACAAGGACTTTCAAGCTGATCTTGTTCCACACGTTCTTGTTAATCTGAAATTAACACTCGAGAGTATTGGTGGCTGTGAACTCGTTGATAAAGATTTGCTGGAAAGAGTTATCGTAGTAACCGTAGAGGCTCTCTCGTCACGTGTTTATGATGCTCTCGGTGCTGGGTGAGTTGACTTATCGACTGAATATACAGCATATATGTTCAAAAATATTTATTCATTTACAATACTATACGTTCATGTTTGTAAATTAACCATATTAGAACGGATAAACTACCTGAAGAAGGATGTTTGGTTGTTAAACACTGTTTATTGTCAGTCACGCTGGTTCTTACAACTTGTACGAAAGTCACCATTCATAGTCGATTGTTGGAACAGTACGCTGGAATACTAAAGATGTGTTACTATTCACCTCAGCCGATGGTAAGTATGAAATTTAGTCCATATAAGTTGCAAGGCACAGCGAAAGAGTACAATAAAAGAAAAAAAGAGAACGTTTCAATCCTCACATTCAGTCTCATACCACCTCTTGCATTACCCCCCTTTCCAATCTCAAAAGATCGCCACAACAGCATTCCATTGTACTCGCACGCTTTTCTTATTCGCAAAAAGGACCGTTTCTTCGTCACCTCCCTCATTGGCTCAAACCTTCACAAGGTTGTTGATTCCTCAGATCATAGAATATGTCAAAAGTGTCAATGAGAAAAAGAAAAGTTCGAGAGATGGTGATATAGATGTGAATGTGGTGGAGGAAGCACTTAAAAGTCTATCGAGTGTTGCCATGGTAGTTACTGATGCTCAACGTAAGTTCGGGGGTTGGTTTATGAAAGTACTGAGAAGCTTCATTATTTTTGGAAAGCAACTAACTTGTGTACTCAATGAATGTATTACGCTTTTGCTTAATATTCATACATTACCAGTTCCGTACCTCCTATCTTCGACTCTCCTCCCAACCTTATCGATTCTTCTCTGTTCCCCGCCTCTCTCCACCCCTCTTCCTCCTATCCATAATCTTTCCACTTCTCACATACTTTCACTCGCCACATCTTCTCCTCTTCAATTCAAAACATCGCTCTCATCCATTCCACCTGAAACCAAGATTAAGCTAGAAAGCGCGATCCGCTTCAGCGTCGAGATGAAACAGGAAGAAGAGAGAAATAAGGAGGCGAGAGAGGAGAGAGAGAAAAGAGAGAGAGAGAGAAAAGAAGAGAGAGAGAGAACTAGGATTAGCTTGAAGACTGAATTTAGTGGGTTTTAGGAGTTCGAGGCGTCCGGTTTAGATTTGTACTAAGGGACAACTATCGATACGATAACTCGGGTAGAATTGTTTTGTAAGAATTGAATGAAATGGAAATCGAATGTCTGGATCACGAACGACTCTGAGGCGAATATTCGGAATGCTCGATCAATATTCTAAATTAACCGCCAACAATATTCAAACTTTAAAGAACAGGTTTAATGCAAAAGCTATCGTAGTTAATTTAGCAAGTATGTATGTAAGTAAAACTTGATATTCTGTTTTCTTTTCTCGTCGTTTATTATTATAGTTTATACAGAATACTTTAATAATTTTAATAGAATCAAAATAAAATAAATTAAAGTAATTAATCATAATTTTATTGTTAACGCGAAACATTGGGAGTAACCTCGTGCTCATCTAACTTGCCTGTTTTATGAAGAAGTGAGTTTCACTGTTAAGTGGCTCTAATTACAACCAGACAAAGCGAACATGATGCTAGTGTGTGTGGCAGGAGATTTAATATTAATGAGACTTTAGTATTTTTAATTGCATTTGATAAAATTTATCCCATTAATAAGAGTAATTGAGGTTATTTAGTTTGAGTAGCCGAATACAATATAATTGCCCAGTTAAGTTCACAATCTCCAAAAATTTAATTCAATACGTTTATTCTTTGCTGTCTGGTCTGATACTCCAGCGTCCGCTTATCTACAGCTAGATATCCGCAAGCCAGCTTATTGTTATCCGGCTTATTTTAGTCTCCTAAGCAACAACTCCGCACAAGAATAGAACCATTATTAGAACAACAATTAGTAATAATTCTTAGTCGAATAGTGTATTAATTATAAAAGGGCGATAAATTTCGACATGTCTAATAATAATAAGGAATTCCTTATTCGTTCCAAGTGAATGAGCCAATTATTAATTATAAATCGTAGACGATAATTTTAATCATATAATTTCACTACCGATCGTAGTATTTTGCTAAATATGAATATTATAATTACTATTTGCTCAACACAACAATTTTTAACACTTCAAAAGGCACTATGAATTGCAATTGACACTTTTATATGGTCGTACAACATATTCTGAATATGGTTTGATCTCATCAATATAACCAACACCAATTCCGGACTCAATAATAAGAGAGCATTGCTGACATTATAATTAAAGCTACAAAATAGACAGTAAAGGTTGTTCAAGCCATGTGATAGTTGGTCTGTACAAGCTCTAAGGAAGAACTTTCCCACAAGCATTATTCGAAACATTAGTAATATGTGCATTAGTTAGAGAAAAATATCTTGATAAAAGTAGCGATCAGTTCTGGAATTTGTGCTGGTTATATTGATGAAGATCGACCCATATTCAGAAACATGCTGTACGACCATATAAAAGTGTCGGTCTGCTATAATGTAAATGAGTCTCATAATTTACGATATCAAGAGAGATACTCATGCTGCTCATATGAAGAAACCCAGTCCTACAAGCTCTAGCTCAATGGGCTTAACCGTTGTGTGAGTTAAGGTAGGCAATTAGCATTAGAACAAGATGCTGAAGTGGGAATGTTTACTGGAACCCTAAAATATTTGGTGTGATGGTGCTAGACTTTTTCGGTAACAACAATTTTGAACCCTATACCTGCAATTACAAAGACACATCAGTCCATCTTATTTAATCAGGAACCAAGTCCTTGGCTTCTTGCACTTCAAGGTTTTCCTTGTAATACTATATTACAATGTCGTTCATTCATATCAACAAACCGCGCACGCTAGCGAACATATTCGATGACTTGGATTTATCCGATGAAAGTGTAGGGGAAAACACCGAGTGTAGTGAAGCCTCTGTTTCGACACGGACGACGCTAGTAGAACAAGAAACCTGGAACTTCCATTTTACGGAGGAAGTATCAGTTGGTCGAGAAAATACCAAGCAACATTGCAATTGCGTCGCTTGCGAACGAGGTAAATATCAAATTTGCGAGCATGTCGTATTTAAGAGACGGTCCGCGGACGTACTGAAATCGTTGTAATTCTCACTTTTCCCCATTCCCATATTTTCACATCAACAGCAGTCACACCGTCACTCAGAACGGATTTTGACAACATACGGCAAGTCTTTATGTCTGAAAAGTTACTTCGACAAGCAGCAATGTTTGCTGGAACAAGAACAATAAGAGACAAGATTGAAGACTATTTCCATGCTACATGGGCTCATCCTCTCCATCTTGGGGTAATAGAGAACTCTTTTTGTCTAGCATATATTTTCTCCAACTAACCTAACTCTATTTATAATCGAAAAATCTCGATCATTTGCAGATACCAATAGTCGAATCCGTTTCATTCATGAGTAATGATAAGCAATTGTGTGAGAGATTCGACGAATATCTGTATGAATTGGCTCTTGACAACATTGAGCCAAACATAAAACCATTGTGGCATGGTACAAATGTTAAATGTTTGCTCGGGAACGAGCCGTGTAATTCAGAATCGGATGACACCTGTGCCTCGTGTAATATTTTACAAAAGGGGTTTGATTTGAGTAAAAGTGGCAGTGCACATCCATATAGAAGGTAATGATATACATGTGTAAATGGCTTGTCTGAGAATTGGCTTGATACTTAAGAGGGAATAGACAAGTTAAAGAATCTATAGAATAAGACTGATATTAAATCTTTACACATCGGTTGTAGATTTGGATCCGGGATATACTTTGCTCTTAATTCGTCTAAAGCACATAGTTATGCAAATTCCCGAAACCACCACAACGCATATACAATACTATTCTGTTGGGTAGCACTTGGCCGGTAAGTAGGGAAGGTTATGTGGTCAGGAGATTAGTGAGACTATTTTCTACCAAAATACATTTTGTTCACCGATATCTAATTTACTTCAATTTGGGCCGAATACATCAAATGCAGCGTTTTCCCAACGTCAGAAGATCTTCCTCATTTGATCGAACCTCCGTTTCCATGCCATTCGGTACATGGTACGGTAGGACCTCGATTGAACTATGAGGAGTATGTGATTTATAGAACGGAAGCTGCCGTCCCGTTCGCGGCCGTGACATATAAAGTAAAGGACAGCATTTAATATGTATTTACTACTATAGATATTTGTACATATGTATCACGTTGTTTGTTATTTGTATCAACAGAACTTGGAAAATTATTTATATAAAATGGTAATGTACTTTACATCTGAATTGCTAATTAAGTTTGTCTTACATCAGTGTCCACTTAATGCCTTAACAAGTACTTGTGTATTATAATCGTTTTTTGGCACTTATATGGATTAAATATTGTGGCAAGCAAGCTCGTTCATCGTAAACGACAACCTCATCATAGTTCAAATTACTAGTTATTCTTGGTTCGCCAAGGATCCTTCGTTTCTATGAACCCTCTTCCAAACTATTAATTTATTCAGTAATAGTGCTTTATATTTTTCTCCTTTATAATAAGTAGCTGAACCTTCGTTGTAATCGTCTGATTTGGTGATGTACCAGAGAAATATCTGCCTGGACCAAATCGCTGAAAAGTCGCACTTACCGTGCCTGGCCCTGCATGTTTTAGACTATTTCCAGAACGTACTATTCCACACAAGAAACATTGCGAATATAAGCAAAGTACTGGCTGAGATGTGCTCAAGAGAAGGTTCAGGAGACATTTCCGATTGAATCAGTGATTTATCCTTTGCAATATCTTAACCGAAATTGTATTTACATTGTAGTCCCATGAAATCGTCTCTGCTCATTCACAGCCGTCATAACACCCTGTCCTTTGGGGAAATTGTTTCCCTGCCAATTTCTGTCGTTCCTCCACTTCATCGCAATATTCATTATAACGACGAACCAAATCCTCCGCCCATATATCTTCCAAATTGAGTGAATTCTAGGAAGTGTCTTCTATGTATGCCGTCTCAAATTGACAAGTTATTTCGTAGAACTTTTGACTTGTAGGCGGCACTTTCAATAGGCAAGGAGCTAGATGGAACGTGAATGATAGCAGTGTCAGTAGATGAAGCAGAAATTTCATAGAAATCGACCGCTACGCTTGATCCATATTTCACTCGTCTTTACAGTAATCACGCCCTTTAACCGAGTTCTGCTGTCCACCGACAAGACGGGGCTGATTACTTCTCTCTCCAACCAGACTCAACCAATTGGGTGTATTGTCGCTGCACTTCTTACTGCACCACAATGTGGATTTGTCATAAACCCTCTTGATCTTCCTTACCTAATGGTAAATCCAGTGAGATGCAACAACAAAAAGTTAATGTTGTTCGGGGATATGGAAACGGAACTTTACATTCATTGCTAGACTATCAATTACCTTACAAAGATAGAACTTCTTTGGTCCAAGGGAATGCCGCGTGAATTTATGTCATTTTTAAGCCGCAACTAGTGACATATGAGAAATAATTTGTGCATTGTCAAGCCGTGTTATTTACGTCCCACCGCGGATGATAAGTAGCTGTAATACTGGCTCCCTTTCTATCTCTGTACGGGTCCGACATAAGTAAAACCAAATTTAATACTACGTTTGAATTCCTATTAGTCATCTGATTAATCAACTTGATACTCATACTAATACTAATACTACGCAGATCGACACAACAGTGTTACACGCAGATGACAATAGTGGTAAACTGTCCATAAGTGTCACATAGGGTTTATTATCTATAATTCTAATATTCAAAATATCCACTGTACACTACACGCATCGTTAGCTAAATTTACGAGTTCAGTTTTTCCATCGTAGCTGTATTCCATGCTCACGACTTCACTAGGCCTGGCTTGCCGGCAAGAAATTATATTAAAATGCTTTTTCTGTTTGCTCCTTCTCCCATTGGTTGATCGATATTGATTAGATCGTTATACGATCTGATTGGCGACTTGAAACCTTTACAATGGTGGAGGATATCCCAAAAAACCAAAAAGCACCTGGTAAAGGTAAATCAAAAATCATATCTGTCGCCTCCTCGGCTGCTACTCTGATACGCGATGTGGTACCAACTAGTGCGAATGCGGTTACTGACGGCTTAGCATCCATAGTTCATGGAAAGTCAGGCTCGAATATGGTTTCAACTGTTACAAGACGAGAATGGAAGGCGGGCATGGGCGAACATGTTGTCAGTGAGAGTCGGGCTGGAATGACCCTAGAGAGCAGCAGTGATGACAACATGAGAGTTAAAAATCATCAAGCTGAAGACGAATGGAAGAATTGGCATAATGCTTCTCAGCCAGATATAGACAATTTGAATATAGGCTATTCTCATGACACTTATTCCTTCAATCATGAACAAGCGTACATAGATAGTACTTTCAACGATGGGGCGGACGTTCTGAACTTTTTAAACAGCACGTCTTTCGTAACAGAAACATACAATCTAGCCAATACAGAAAGAGATTTGATTTCTCGTCGATCACGGAACGTTGGTTTTGTAGATCCTTCTTCGTTATCGAAACCATATATTGATCGACTATTGGAGGCCCAAGATATCGTTGAATACATTGCTCAAACAACTTATTCAGATGATATTTATGGTCTTCCTGATTCTTTCAAAAAGCTAATTGACGATGCCAGGAACGAAATTATGGATAATACTGAGATACATCAGAGGACTGCAGTAGAAAGGTTGCGGATGTTTAGAGATCATTTAATCAAGAGGAGGGAAGAGAAAGGCGATGGTAACTCGAGTTGGTTGGATGAATGGAATCGAATGGAAGAATAGTCGCTGACTGACTATGGTGCAACGCATCTAACACTAAAAACCAAACGGTCCGAAATTTTGTATTACTAATCACATGACATGTACCCAATAAAATGCTCTGAATCACAATTACGCTTCAAATTTGAATAAAGTGAAACTCGACATTAATATTAATGTTGCAGATTGAACAGTACATGCTTATTTATATAAGTGCGCTTACGTTTTTGAATCTCCGGTTTAAGAAAGTTGACCGAATTAATTTGCTCGTAATTCATCCCATGCATTTTCGGGATTCCTCTGTGCGATATATATTTTTTAGCAGCATATTCTGCTAATTTACCTGTAATTCCGTGTCTGTACAAATCGCCACGTTTTTCGCGCAAATCGGTTACTCAATTAACAGAATCGAGAGCACGAATAACTGTTTCTTGTAATCCACTCCATGTGTAATTACAATTATTTCGTGCATATCGTTTAGCTGCTCCCCAATAACGTTCAATAAAATTCAATTCGCAAGTAAATTTTTGGAAAAATACAAACATGGCCCGAATTTTCGATCGTTTCGACCAATGCCGATGTGCTTGCTTCTGTATTGATAAAATTGAGTTTATCTCTAATAAATTTTCCTCTTTCATTCGACACCTTTTTATGTGCGGCTTTGTAAGAATGATAGAACAGATGATGCAGAACAAAAGTTACGATTTAGATTTTTAACCAACTAAAAAAGTTTCAAGTTTTAGGAATTTGAAAAGTAACAGTTTTATTATGTTTTCTTAAGAAAAGATGGAAATTTCGGACACACCGTAACATGCTCTGTTGTTTTACTATGCCTCACAACTAAAAGAGGATTAGTTTTTCTCTATACAAAAGCCTTAGGTTTTGAAAGTTGGTTAATTTATTTCGAGCTTTAGATGCGTTGCACCATATACACCCACTTACCAAAAGTATTGGTGATTTTCGTCGATCAATTAGTAAAACATATGAAAATTTCTTTTTTTCGG